TGAATATTATGATAAATAAATATTATATAAAAAAAGAAAGTTATGATGAGAAATATATAAATTTTTGAGCACTTTTAATCTAATATCCAATTATATTAATTAAGTTATAATTTTTTTTTGATCCGAATGAATCTCGATGACTAATTAATATTAACGTTCAATTATAATCGATTCGATGGTAAGAAATACAAGGGTTAAATATTACGTGGCAGAAAAGGGATGTTACAAGTGGAGGTGGGACCACTGGGCCGACTTGCCCGCGCAGCGACCTTTTTCACTATTCTCACTCCTCTCCTCCGCCTCTTGTAGTCCTTATTTTTGAAAGTTCAAAAATCTCACACACACACCCCTCCTGACACACAAATACCCCCTCTCTCTCTCTCTCTCTCTCTGTGGTATAGCTTGCTCAAAGGATGTTCAATCGAAGCCGCCATTAATGTAAAAGCTTCTTTCTCTAAATTTACATTTTGTCCTTTTGATCTATCATTTTCTAGGTTCATTAACCGCAGATTTTGTGTTTTTGTGTGTTTTTTTTGCCTGGTATTAGATGCACGCGACTATGAAATGAGCTGAAAAATTGAAGTGTGGAAAATTTCTTCTCGTGTTTTTGCTGATGATCTCCTGAAGATTTTCTACGAATTTTCGTCTTGTGTTCTTTTTTTTTTTTGAGAAAGCGTAGAAAAATATTTGGTAAATGGAGAGGGATAAGCGGAAAAAATCGAAGATGCCTTGCCTTTTTGGAGGTGAAATTCTCTCTCTTTCTATCTCTATATATTTGTGTTCGTATCTATTAGTTTTGTTTGGTTGTTGAGAAAATCTAGCAGTTAAATTGAAAGCTGCATTCTTAGAATTTTTCAACTGGAAGTTATATTTGCTCACTCTAGTAGAAAATTTTAACGTCTGTTCTAGTTGACGATGAAAACGAAGGAAGAAGAAGTGTAAGAATAATGTGATTTTTTCTTTCGTGGATGCTAAATAATTGAGTTGTCTGTTTGTAGTGGACGTGTTCTTTTTCTATTTAGTTGTTTATTTTAATTTTTTATTTGTCAAGTTTGCTTTTCGTTTCTATGTTGTGTAAATTACGTTTCGCATGCTAGGACAAAATTGAAACCCTATCCCTAGCGCTGCCACCGTGATTTTAGTTTCTCTAATTTTAGAATTTTGTATTGAAATGGCAATTAGGGTTTGATTCCTGACATATTGTTGTTTTTGCTATATTCAGAATGCGAACTTCATAATGAACGGTGAGAGCTAGGGTTATTTGTAGAGTGGGTTTCCGGTGGTAGTGGTTTAAGCGCAATTAGTTCTCTTTTCCAAATTCATGAGTTATGATGATGCAGGAAATGGTGCCCTCAAAGCCTGAATATCGAGTGTGTTTAAGTTATAATCTAGATGTTGGAACGGTTCTTAATGAGAATATAGTGTCTTTGATTAGTCCCAGCGAAAAGTTTCCACTTTAAACTAGTCATTTTGCTTTTAATCAATGTTACCTACTTTTCTATTTGAATCAACTGTTCAAAAAATTCTGCCATCCTTTTAGCTACTGAATATGGTTCCTATTACAATTTGTTTTGGTGATAATTTCTTTTATCTGACTATCAATTATGAATTGTGCACTTGAACAAACATTGTAACTTTTTACAGGGAATGGGGAAAATACGAACCGGAAAACTGTTCAACCGAGGTCCCCAAGCGATGCTATCACTGAGCAATATTCGGTGTGTTTACAAGCTTTTTAACTTTATCTCGACATGTTCTTTTACATTGTCACTAGGTCAGGAACTAGTTTACTGAGATATAAGCAAGTTATGAATGTCATGATATACTATATTCTCTGCATCTTTTTTTTTTATATAAGCAAATTTATAGCTTAACTAAATCAATATGGTGATTGTAGTACACGTTTGAAGTTGGGCAAACCTCTTCTAAACAAGCATATGGTACACCAATGAAGACATTGTTAGCTAAAGAAATGTTAAATGAAACTTCAGCCAAAAAGCGGTCACCAAGTCTTATAGCAAAGTTGATGGGTCTAGATGGACTGCCATCTCCCCAGCCTATCCACAAGCAACAAAGAAAGTTGTCAGACAACTCTCACAAGAGTACTGCCTCCGTAGGAGGCAAAAGGAATGAGAAGCCATTTAGTCATCAGTCGGATAAGAAGAGCGCCATGGAGCAGCAACAATTCAAGGATGTTTATGAAGATCTAGAAGCATCACATGTTGCAAATAAACGTTATTCACCACCATCGAGTGCAAAAAGGAGATCCACGAAACAGGAAATGGGGTACATCCAGGAAAGATGCGATGAAATGCTTAGGGAGTCCATTGCAATTAAAAGTAAACTTGAAAGGGTAGACTCTAACTCGGACTTAATGTTGAGTTTTCTGCAGAAGCCAGATTCCTTGTTTGTAAAGCATCTGCATGATCAGCAAGGTATCCCTTGCAGTTCTCCCTGCAATCAAATAACAGTTTTAAAGCCGTCAAATTTTGTCAGACATGGAGCCCATGGCAAAGGCTTGAAAGAAGAGAGAGAAACATTAAACTACTGTGCTACTAATTCTCATCAAAGAAACGAGGACAGGCTTTTAGGCTACTCCAGTCGCAGTACTAATAATTCTCATAGATCATCCAGAATTCAGTTAGAAAGGAACGAGGCAATTGCCATTTCTCCAACAAGGATTGTCGTTCTGAAGCCAAATGTTGCAAAGATCTACAATGACAAGAATTCTGTTCATTCTCCTGATGAATTTAGGAAGAACGCAGAATCAGAATGCTTTAGTAGTGGGACTGGGCAGGGAGGATCTCAGAAGTATAGGGGGGCACTAGGTGAAGTTAGGTCTTCCAGGCACAAGTCCAGAGAAGCTAGAGAGATTGCAAGGCAGATTACTAGTCAAATGAAAGAGGGTTTTGAAAGTGGGCATGTTAACTTATTTGATCATGGTTTTAGAGCATATGTTGGGGATGAAAGATTGTACAACATGTCCACAAGTGCCTCTGTTAGTGAATCAGAAATGATGGTGGTGCCTTCCAGAAATTCCTTTGACCGGAGTGACAGACCCAAGCATTCACCATCTAATATGTCTGAATCTTCTGTGATTAGGGAGGCAAAGAAGAGAATGTCGCAAAGGTGGAAGACTCACGGATATAAAGATGCGGGAATGGTTGGTAAGGGAAGTACGTTGGAAGAAATGCTTTCCATTCCTAACAGCGAAATAAGGCATGGCAAAACTGGACGTGTTGTGGGTCTGGTTGGGGTCAGTGATGAATATGCTTCACCTGGAGGATCGGGTATGCCTTTGGGAATTAGCAGCAACGATGGTTGGAGAGATGGATATCTTAGAAATACACCAAGATCAAGATCTCTCCCTCCCTCTTTACGCAACCGAAGTCATAGAATTAGCAACTATCATGAAGCTCATGCTGATGAGAAGATAGTGGTACATAATGAGCCCCTCCATCGAGGTAAAAGTAAGGGAGCAAAGGGAAATTTTAACCACATAGAAGATTTACGATCCAAAAATTTAAGATACACTAAAAGGTGTCGCTCCTCCCAACATTGCAATGCCTGTAGCCTTGAGTTTGCTAATATATCAACAGAAAACCATTCCAGCCAGAAACCAACTGAGACTTGCTTTGAGAATGAGGATCCTGCTGAACAAGAGCCACTGATTTCTGATATTCATGGTGCTACCACCAATGCAGCTACCACCAATGCAGCTTCTGTTATTGATGTGATTAGGATATCTTCTGAATCTTCCAATGAGCTGAGCCCAAGACTCAATGTAGATTCCTCTGCCATTGATGAGGACAGTTCAAATTCACAGGTTTGGTTATACTGCTCTCTGAACTATATCATAAGATTTGCCACAAAGAATACATGTTACAATAACAACCCTTTATATGTAATGCCGTATTAGCTGTTAACTGCATTTGGGCTCATGCTTTTAGTATTTTATTCTATAGATATGTTGGCGCTAATTACCATTTGTTTGGCAATTATAAATAGGTCATAGATAATTGGAACGCATGAGCATAATGTAATTTCAATCAATGTCTTGCTCCCAATATTTATTGCATAGCTGTAGTGATTGCAAGTGTTCCTCATCGTCACAAACTTCAGATTATGATTATTAAAATCATTTTAACCTTCTAGGAGCTGTAGTATTTCTCTTAGAGAGGCATTTGATTATTAGGCATGCATATTCACACAGGACTAAAGCACCAATTTCCGGCTACAGAATATCAACTAGAAACAAATTCTGTGAGTCTAGGCAAATCCCAAGGCCCAATTCTCGATTAAAGGCCGAGGTCTGTTAACAATCATGTTATTAGAAAGATAGGCATTAATGGATCTCTAAGATGGTAACACATGGCGGTTATCCATATTTGCAATGTGAATGTAAAGAATGTATGTTTTTGTATCTTCTACTTATATGAGCCCTTTGTAAAGCAACTATTGACAACTGAATAAGATCTAGCATTGTCTGCAATTTTTTTAATCTACCAGCCAGTGAGTACCACATGTTTTGTTCACCAACAAACAAGACATAAGGAAAGAGATAAGAAGAGCCGTCTAACCTGTTTTAGGTATCACAATCAAAATCAAATTCCCATCTCAGTTCTATACAAAAGCTTTGGCACTTCTCTGTTTTCAACCATATATGGAAGCTTTAACACTTACGTGTTTGGAACTTTAGTAGGTGCAAAAATGAGCTTAACTGGATTGTCGTAAATCACTTGATCCCTTTAGCTTGACTGAATTAATTCAAATCATAGCTAGACTTGGTTCCACACTGAAGATGATTTAAAGCCCTAGCTCAGTAGCAAGGACTTGTAAATGCTGAAGACACCTTTACTTACAGCTTGTGTATAGTTGAGGTTTAGGAAACCTCTACATTATTTAAAGTGGTCATATTCAAGGTGAGAGTTGGCAAACTTCCTAAGGATAACCATGCGACTTTTTCAGTCAACCTTGGACAACTCTTATGACTTCAATGGTTACAAATGTTAATGGTTTTCATTTTCCATTGATAAGTAGCACAATATCTTATTCAAGTCTTTAAAGTTTAAACACTTTACTAACCTAATACCCTCTACATTTTTTAAGACATAATAGGTGTATAAAACACTAGGAAACTTATTTCTTTGGCCGACTATCAATGGACATCGGCACATACCACACATCTTAATTCATTTATGATCTCAATTTAGTCTCTTAATTCTTGTTACTTAAAGAACATGAAAATCAATTAGTTGTTTTTCTATTTCCATATGATAAACTCTTGTTTGTGTTGTAGGAACCATCAACTTCAAAATCAGTGGGTACTGTTTCCATTCGGTTGTCTGGACCTGAGCTAGAATCTTCTGAAGGCTCTAAGGAGGTTGATCAACATGGTCAAATTTCAGTTCTGGAAGTTCCTCCTACAGAAGATGTATCATCTGGTTCTGATTGCTTTGAGACAGTCATTTCTCAACTTCATGGTAACTACTAATTTAACCTTATGTGTTTTTCTGTTTTTGTATTTGAACCAATTGAAACTACCTGCTGCATCTTGCCTTTAGTACAATTGACATACGGAAAGCTTTCATTATAATAACACCTTTTCCTCCTGAAATGAATGAGCCATTTTATTTGTCAATTGCTAGGAAAAGGCTTATTTATTTATAACAGAGGTATGCAGACTTTTTTCTTTTCGGTTTTATTTCACATCCATAATGAGTTGAGCAACCATAAGAATTGCTTTAGGAATTTGGTGAATCAGGGAATAGCAATACTTATCTAGAGATTTGGATATGGTGTATGCAAGCGTGGTCCTTGTTAAAATTGCATAAAAGGATGAATAAACTTTTGGTTCTTACTCATCCTTTGAGCAAATATAAGACTTGTTTGCAGTACAATCAGAATGATAGACATCCATAGCATGAGCCTTGCGACAATGTGCATACAAGTCCTGGCCTTGTGACTTGGATAAAAGATGAAGACTGATAATTTTGCTGCTGAGATGATGTCAAGGACTTATCTGGGCATCATCATCATCGTCAAAAAACAAACTGATGGTATTGGTTGGTCCACAAGATTCTATTATTTAAGGATGATTTTGATATTTCCCAACATTTTCTTAAACTATGTGCCAGGAACATTGTTGTTTTTCTTGGGATGGAGGGGATGAATCATGTCTCTCCACCCATCCATTTAACATCCATATATCATTTCATGGTTTTCTCACCCAGACATCAACTGTACTTTGTGAGTGATTCTCAAGTCTCGATGAAAAATGACACATTAAAAGGGTTTCCCTTATGAACTCACTATATGCCTTAGCGACAACTGAAATTTGGGCATCTTTCATCGTAGGTGTTTCCTAGGAACGAGTCCCACGTTCCCTTTTTAGTTTTGGTTTCTAAAATAAGCCTTTTCCCTCATTTTTTCAGAGCTTAGGAAACAACTTCATCTGCTGAAGATGGAATCAGGATCTACTGATGATAGTGCAAATGAAGAAGAGGTTGAACAAGGATCATGCTTTACCGTCTCGGAATCTAACAACTGGGAATCTACGTACTTGACAGATCTCCTACAAGGTTCTGGTTTCTCAGATAACGACCCATATACATTCATGACCACATTGTATGCCGTAGATTGTCCTATAGATCCATGGTTATTTGATCATCTCGAAAAGAAATACTCTGGAGATTCAAACGTCTCAAGATCCGAAAGACATCTGCTTTATGATCGTATAAACGAAGCATTGTATGTTATTTCCAAGACCAGGGTATCTTGTTCGTGGGTGAGTCCTGGGAAAAGAGGAATCCAGACGACATTGACAGAAATTGGGTTTGAAGACCAGCTACAGAAGGTGCTTGCAAAGCAAGAAAAGGAAGCAAAGGAGGATTTTGAGGAAATATCCATCGACAAGGATCCAGACTGGTTTCAACCAGTGAAAGAAATCGATGTTGTAGGTAAGCAAATTGCAGAGCTGTTGGTAAACGATTTAGTACTCGAAATCATAAGCGTATAGCAGTAAAGGGAGTAGGGCATAGAACAAATAAGGGACTCAAATGACAAACCAAAGTAGTAATGGTGGTTTTTTTGGTTATCAAGATTGCATTTGATTTTGGTTAATGATGTGTTTATATACCATTCCCTTTTGGGTAGAATCCATCTCTCTCCCATTCGATCCTCAATCCATAACTTTGCTTTGGGTATGAATTTTTCAAGTTGAAGCTGATAAAAGTAATAGACATCGAGTTAGAACATCTCTGACAGATTTTTTATCGTCTCTTAAAAATAGATAACTAAATGTTAGATCTCTAAAATGAATTATAGTTAACTCCGACCAATTCTTTATTTTATTTTAGAGATTTCAATATTAATTGTATTATTAAATTATTTTATAGTTTTATCATCTCAATATACTTTTAAAATATACTAGTTGTGTACCCGTGCAATGCGACGGGAGCCATAAATTTTAACTATTTTGAAGTTTAACTGGTTTTATTAGAGAAGATTTAACGATGATATAAGTTACACTTGATATTTACATATTAACTATTTCGATGCGTTCGATTTACACCAAGAGCAAAGAATCAAGAGATCGAAAGCGAGACTGAGAGTTCTAGAGCAATTGAATGAGAGATGAATGAGATAACTTTTAATAACTCATGGTGAATATCAATTTGAATCTCTCATTGGGGGGTTGAGGAGAAGACACAGAGGTATGAGATGGTGAAAACATGAGTGAAATGTGTCAAAAATATATTGAAAACATGAAAAGAAAAGATAATAATGTGCATTGGTAACTTGCACCATATGTTATTTTAATTGTAGATTAAGAGATTTTAAGACTAATGTATAAAGTAATAGTACTTAATGCGTTATGAGTTGTTTTTAAAACTTTTAAGACGCATAAATGTATAATACTTTGTGCATTAAAAAATTGTTTTTAAAACTTTTGATAAATTTGATTTATAAGGTAGTATACATGTATATAATAATAGTTCAATCTAATTGGTGGAATCAAAGAATTCTCAAAAATTAAAGTTTTCTATTATTTAAAAAAAAAATTAAGAACAATACAGAAAATATGTTACGTTACGTTACGTTGGAGATACTTTGAGAACATCTATATGCTGTTTGAATTTTTTTGGAAGAAAGATTATGAGTATTTATAAAATAAAAATAGGATAGACAAACAAACCGACCTTAGCTCAGTTGGTAGAGCGGAGGACTGTAGTGGGTAATATCTCGAAGCCATCCTTAGGTCGCTGGTTCGAATCCGGCAGGTCGGATTATTTTTCTTTTTTTCCTCAAAATCCTATTTCTACTTACCGCCAGAATCTTTGTTTTTTTTTTTTTTTTTTAAGTTTAATATATTTTCCAAAATTCTTACAGCAACAACTGGTTTGAAGATGATTATGTATTGGAATGATTTACGGTAAAAATTACTTGTGTATCAATTTTCTCATATTTAGTATAAGATTTGGTATTACTTGTTAGAGATGTCCTTACAACAAACCGTATTAAAATAAAGTTTCTTAGAAATATATACATATATATATGTATGTGAAGTTGGGTTCCGGTGAGAAATGAAGTTATGGTGAAAAAAAGTACGAATTGATCTTCACCCTTTGATCAATCTTAATTGAAAATCAACACTAGTGAGATGTACAGAATCAAAAGTGCAATTAATGGATGAGCATGAGATTAAAAATGAGCAAGGGTGGAGACCCCTTCTTACACATATCACCTTAATTTTTTTTCTCACACGATCTTTCAATTCCTTCGCAATGTGTGTGTGTATAGGCGGAAGTTCAAACGAGAACCTCTGTGATTTACGAGAATGTAAGAACAGTTGTGGGTCTTAAACCTCTTTAACCAATAATTTAAGTTATATTAAATAAAATTAAATCAATAAAGATAGTAATGTAATTAGGTATTTTTATAAATTTTATCTTAATTTAATCGTATGAATTATTCCATGGATTTAGCTTGGGATTTGACCATGTTGAATAGAACGTCCATCGTTTTCTTCCCATCATTTTCTCCCCATCGTATCTGAATATTTGAATTTTCTGATATTCGTGTGATGATCGATATTGATTGGGCTGTGTTAATAGTGTGATACGTGAAATCTAATCGAACCAAACAATGTGTAGTTATAGTTGCCGATAATCTATATTGATTGGACTGTGATAATATACGTGAAACCTGATCAAACCGAACAATATGTAGTCATGTTTGCTAATAATCGTGTGATAATCGATATTGATTGAGATGTGATAATCGTGTGATACATGAACCCCTAATCGAACAACAAAGTGTAGTCGTATTTATTGTGATAATCAATATTGATTTGGCTGTGATAATCGTGTGTTACAGGTTGAACCCTGATCGAACCAAACAATGTGTAGTTCGTATTTGTTGTCATAATCATGTGATAATCGAACCAAACAATGTTCTAATCGAGAGACGGTAATCGACTCATATACTAAGTGTGATAAAATTATGATAAGCAAACCTTGAATCAAATGTCTTTGCAAACTTCTTCCTCTAATCGTCGATTTGAACTCCAGTTCAATTTCTTCTTTCAATCCACTTTTTGTCTTCTAAAACCTTATGAAACTTTTTTCCTCGAATAAAGGCCTACTAGATAACCAAGATGATTAACCACCGTCGACGATGTTAACAATTTCCAGATGATCGAAGTTTTTGTGACCGTATTATTTAAAAATTATCACTTCGAATTCCAAGTTTACCCACCCACCACTTAAATATCTTTGAATTGTCTTTAATATTAATTTAAATTTAAAAAATCTCTTAATTTTGATTGTTATCACATCACTTGGTTGATACACTATTATCACATTCTCGTAAATCACATATGTTCTCGTTTCAACCATATATATATATATATATATAGAGAGAGAGAGAGAGAGAGACGACGTTTCAAATGCAACTCATTACATTTGTACAACCAAGTCAATTGAGATATTTATGGAAATGATAAGAGTTCATTTATTATGATTTGAATATTCATAGAAGAAAAGTAGAGTTGATTAATTATGATCAATACTTTATATTAAAAAACAATTACAACTCTTATGTAATCACATATTTATCAAATTAAATGTACGGTTGATATTCAGTTGTATTAGTTATAAAAAAAAATAAAGGGTTGCATAATAATCAATATATATATATATATATATATATATATATATATATATATAGAGGATCGTTCAAATAAAAACTTGACCGATTTGTGTAAACCGTGTAAACCAATCTCATCCATTTATTTTCTTGATCAATGGCTTAGATTACTTTACTTTATTTTTGGAAATTAAAAATTAAAAAATAATTAATATTTATTTTATTTCATCAATAAGGGTAGAATTGGTAAACAAAGTTAACATTTTGTAACTCCTCGATTCCTTTTCCGATTCAATCATACTATTTTAATGTTAACATTTTTTAAAATAATATCCATCAATAAGTTATATCAAAATCAAAACACAACATATTCACTAATGTATAATGAATCATTTCATTAAAAATTAAAATAAATGATCATATTTCGTTTTTTTTTTATTAATTTACTTGTAGACGGATTCGTTACATTTAGTTAATGAAAATTTTTCATTGTTTAATATGCTTATTAAATTTTATGATTATGCAATATCTAGTTTCATTATCCTCATTTGATATTGAACCTCATTCATTTTTTGCAATGATGAATCGATTTTTTCTATGCACCGGTTTCATTTAGCATTTCATCTACTTAACCATTCRCYTCCACCATCATTGTTCATGTCTTAAAGCGGTTCATGACTAACTGTTCAATTACATTATGAACCCGTTTCATTGTCATTAACACGTTACATCCACTGAATGGACCTTCTACGTAATCCTACAACGTGGTTGGCTATGAAACGAGTTCAACAATCATTAACCAATGCAACATGGATCACCATGAAACTTGAACATGAATATGTTTCATCATCATGACATGAGTACTGCATGAACATGTACAATATATTATGCATCCGTTTCATCATAATGAAACCTTTTCATTATGCATATTAATATATTATGCACCTGTTTCATCATAATGAAACCTTTTCATATGAACATTAATATATTATGCACTGGTTTCATCCTACTAATTAAATGTATCAACTTCACACACAAAGAAACATGGATCACCATGAAACTAGATGTACATTGAATCATAAAGCAACATGTATCACAATCAACATGGATCACCATGAAACTTCAATCACAAAGCACCTATTTCATTAAAATGTAAAATATGCATAAATGTAGCAAATATACCATTATACAATGAAACTTTTTTCACACATGAAACACTTTCATGACCGGTAATTTTTGATTCAATGAACCTCAAATCATGCATTCATTCCATAACAAGATAGAATCTTCATAAAACTTTCCAGCTTCATTGAATAAAAAAAATCAATTTTTAATATTATAATATATTAAAATCTTTAAATCATTCCATTTATATAAATTTCCTTATTTAATATTCCTTAATAACTTCCTTATTTATGAAAAAAATAATAAAAATGACCAAAATACCCTTATTGATTAAATTTAATTAAAAAAGAATGAAATTTTYYTATTGGTCGATTTTGGTTTACACGGTTTTTTAGAATGACATGGTTTTCATTTGAACCATTAAATGTTGTATTTATGAAAACGATTTTTTTTGGGAAGAACATATTCAATGTGATGTTACTGTCACACCTACACCTTGGGCTTATAAAAGTTCCTATTCCAAATTATTTTATTTTTAATCACAAAATTACCCAAAGTTGTTACATTACAAAATCAATCCAATACTAACACCACCCTACCCTACCCTACCTCACCAATCCCATCTGTTTCTTGATTTCAGAGAAATCAGAATTGATCGAAGGGGTCGAAACCGTGGTGGGAGTCAATAATTTAGCGTTTTTGACCTTTGAGATGCTTGTAAGAACCGATAACGGTGTTACGTGACCGACCACTGTCACCTTCTTGGCCATGAAATCAATGTTGAAGGATGTTACTCCTGAGATCGAATCCAAGTTGTTAAATTACATAATTTAAAACCGAATATATATATATATATATATATATATATATATATAAATACCATTTTTAAGTGTATGAATATACCTTCCATTTTAGAGAGATGCTTCCTCATTTTCTTCTCACAGCCTTTGCAGTGCAGGGACACCCTTAACACAACCACCTGCAACCAATTTCATTTATTACCACCATCATTATTTTCTGAATACCATTTATTGAACAATCCACATATTTATCTCATTATTATCAACTATTTAATTATTTCTTATTTCTATTATAATCATACCAAAATTAATTCATACACTCTTTAATTACCATCTTTAGTTTATTTTCCAGTGTTAAAAAGACTGTTTTAGATTTTTAAATTAAATTAAATCTATTGTTTTAATTTTATTCCGAGATAAAAATTACTGTATTTCTTTATAAATGTAACATTTAATGTATTTATTAATTATAATCTAAAAATATTCTGATACAAAATACGATGTAGATCACGAATTCACAATCATATTTACTAATCATTATTAAAAAGGTATTAAATATATTTAAAAGCTTATACAAATATTTAAGTTTTTTAATTACAATAGAGAGGTGATTTTTCTGAATAATATTTAAAGATAAATGATAATATAGAACCTGGTGATCGGAAGGTTGTGAGGACAGAGTCGACGACGAAGACCGTGGCGGCGATTTGGGAGGAGAAGAAGATATATGGCCGTCGTCTTTCTTCTTGAAAGACTTGTCAGCATCGAAGTAATTGTATGGTTTCTCCGGCGGCGGGGGTGGTTGTGGTGAAGGAACTTGCTTCAAGAGAGGATCAACCTGATCGGACAAGGCTTTGTCAGTCAACAAGTATCTTGAAGAAGTCGCCGGACTGATAAAATCACCTGGTCTTGTACAACCCCATCCAAGCAGCACTCCTCCTTGCCTCCTTACGACGGTGTTGCTGCTGCTACTAGGGTTCTTGACATAGTTACTTGTAATAAACTCGTGGTCGTTATTTTCATCTGCAAATGCAATGGTTTTTCTCTTCTGATCGTTGTTCTTGGGATTCTTGGTTTTTTTGAACGTGTGGTGGTTGGGAGTGCTGGGTGGCTGATCAGGGAGTAGGGTTCTGGTGAGTCTTTTCTCGTCTTGGATGATGGGGTTGTGGCGGTCGATTGCTCGGCCACCACCACTGGAGGAGGAGGAGGAGGGTTGTTGATGAAGGTCAGAATCCATGATGATGGTGGCGTTGGATATGGAGGTAGCAGCCTGGGACGCACAGAATATATCAATAGCTTTCATGGTGAGTTGTAGTTTTACAACCAAGTGATGCTCCTTTTGAGCTAACCATAGAATCTCCTTCACAGTACACACTTCCACTCTACACCCTTTCTTTATTTTACTTAATATTTCCGAAGAGATCTGGACCCTTAATCGTCTTTAATCTTAAACCTACTTATTAATCGCACTTAATACGGAGATTGATCTGGTTTATTTCGGTGCATCTCATCCTAATATGTTATTTTCATTGTGTATATTTAATCAATACGTACATCTTGAGTAAGTTGGTGACATTTGGCCACCGAGATGTACTTGAAAACGTTATAAAGTTTGAAAATGGGAGTGTGTTTCCAAGAATGGCATGAATATTAATTAAATTGTTTTGAAATTAATTAGAGATTAGATAATATATATATATATATATAATGTATTAAATGAATGGGAACAAGAACATGGGTTCAGAGCAACAGTGAAGGGTCCAGCGGTGAGGTGCTACCATACAAAACATTGATTCAAAACCAGACAAAGTAACGGTTAAATTCCAATACAAATGTGGGACCAACTCATTTTTCTAATATGCCCTAAAACATAAGGATTTACAGATCCATAATGACCGCTCACCATATATATATATATATATATATATATATATATAATGCGTTTGATTTTTAAAAATACATCGATAGCAGAGCGTTCTGTCTTCTAAGATTCACTAATTATTTGATTGTTGACGGATCTCTTTGTATGTGTTTTTCGGAAAGAGGACTCAATGATTATTTGTTCGCCGGAACCGGAAGTACGAATGATGCAAGAAAAAAAATATAATTATAAAAACATGTAGACAAAGGGACATATATATTAAAGGGTGAGTTTCGATGATAATGAAAGTTATGGTAATAAGGGGATCTCCACCATTAGATCAATTCTAATTGAAGAGAACCACTAGATCAATCATCTTCTAAAGCACAACTCATAGGTTGTTTTGCGATTAAAAGTAATCAAAGCTCCAAATTCCTTCTTACAATTCTCATATTAACTTCTATTCTCACACGATCCTTCGTCTATATATTTAATGGGATAATTAAGGATAATGTGGATACGGAGGGGATAAATAAAAGATGCAACTCATACTTGAGGACCAAATCATTTTACTTTTTATGGTCGTATATATAAATTAATGTACTTGAGATACAACAATGTTATATGGATGAGGGACCCGTAACATTATGACCATGTCTTTAAGTTTTCACCATACAAGTGTCGTAGAAAATGTACGATAAGATAAAGTCAAACATTTAGACACGGTGAAACACATCTTCCAAGTTGAAGTCCATAGACCAATGAGGAATGCGTTTCTTTATATTTGTATGTGCTTTCATTTCAACATTTATTGATTTTTTTTTTATTAAACTAGATATTCAACCCGCTATGCGAGCCAACTAATCCCAGGGCTACTACTTGCTTTGCAGATAGCACGAAGTCACCGCATTTGAACCTCCGTGGCCACAAGGGGATTTTTATTCTTCCTTGGATTTGAACCTAAAATCTCCTGGTACTTTTGACATTTGGAGTCAAACTCAAATCAAGTACCACCCATGTGGTTTCATGATTGTGTACGTTATTGTAACAAAATCAGAATTATCAAGTTAGGAATCTTTTAACACTGTTCAAAAGTAAAAATTCCTAAAGAACGGCCAAGACAATATTTATATGTAGACATCTTTGATGTTAAGGTCTGGGGTATGAGATCCCATTGACGGGAATGCCAATTTTTAGATACATATATAAAAGAACGTTATTAATTGGTCTAAGAAAGTTGTATCTCGTTTTAAACTTTATTATTAATCCTCATAATTTATTGAATATGTATATATTATATGTGCTTGTAAATTGTAGAAGAATGGTGGGATAAGTCATAATAATTTGTATGTTACACGTGAGTCGATAGCATTTATAGGGATTAGGGAGGGAGGGAGTTTGTTGTGATGGTCCATTTTTAGTTCCAAGACTTGTTATTATTATGATGATAAGGAGTAGGTGAAGTAGTACCATCACATGATGGGTTTCTGAAAGTTGTACCATGTGCATCAACACTTGCACTACATCAAAAAGTACCAAAACCAACCTTCTATTTTCACTCAAGACCAAAAAATGCTTCTACAGTAGCTAGGGGTGACTAGGTAATTAAGTTAAACAAACCAAGGGTAAAAAGGTAAGTTTAACATTTTGGGTGTTATATGAATCTTGTGAGCCAAATGAAACATGGTTATCATCACAAGAACTCCAATCAAGCATACTGTTTTTTGTCAAAAAAGGAAGAATAAAGGCAAGAATAGAATTGTATTCCAAAGGAACAAATGCTTCAAACCCTTTCACCAATCAATCATATCTTTGAATCTGATGCCAACATCTTCTCTTCCAAAAGGCATTCTTGTAAAACAACACTCATCAACTTTAGTTGGGAACAAAAAGTTATTTGCCAAATAATTGCATTCATTTGGGGATTACTACTAAAATATCCAATCACAGTGTACTTTTTGTTGGTGACACGAATGAACGTACATATAGATACATGCTGTTGAATCTACACATACGATAATCTCACTTGTTGCCTTTGCCTTCATCTTCATTCAAGATGCGGTTTCTGAAATCAGATGCCATTCGTGGAAGACCCTCTCGGAGTGTTATCTTGGGCTCCCAGTTTAGCATACTTTTCGCCTTGCTAATATCTGGTTTCCTCTTCTGGGGATCATCAGCGGTGTTCTCTTTGAATTCTATTGTAGCACTTGGATCAATAGTTTCTTTCACCACCTAATTTGTATGTTTCAACAAATTATCAAAATAATACCAAAGATTTGTTTGAAAACAGAAAAAGGAAAACGGACGAGGAGAAAAACCTGAGCAAGCTCTAACATGGTAAACTCTCCCGGATTGCCCAAGTTGAAAGGTCCAATATGCTCACCTTCCATGAGCGCCATGAGTCCATCAACCTGAAATCAAGGCAATCTCGTAAACTATTCATCCTCATTTTACTAGAAAAGATGAAAGCTTATTCATCATCATTTGGAGGACTCATGTAGAAGATGGTAAAAGCCTATATCCATAACAAATAGCATACCAAGTCCGAGACATATTGGAAACTTCGTGTTTGTTTTCCATCACCATAAACTGTCATTGGTTGTTTGCGAATCGCCTGCAAAACATAGCTGTCTCACTAAGATATTGGTACTGTTGAGGACTCCGAACTAAACAAAACATGATCCTATACTTCATTCTTTTTATGAATTTATAAGAAACAAAGAGGGGGAAAGGTGCAGTTTTACCTGAGCAACAAAGTTGCTAACAACACGACCATCATCCAGACACATTCGAGGACCATATGTGTTAAATATACGTGCGATTCGGACCTGCAGTGTAAACCATAGTTGCCACATGTCAGGCTGCTACGATGAGGTGATAAGTTGCCTAGGCTTCATAAAGTGCCAAGTCATTTACAATGTACAAACCCATATCGATGATGTACTTAGCGATCTAGAGGAACACTTTGTAATTCAATGTTCTTGTGGTACAGAATCAGGAATGAAATGGGCTATCTCAAGGGAATGAAAAATATTGTTTGGGTACATATTATGGATTATGAAATGGAAAGCATAGTTCTGAATTCCACTGAACCATTCCTGATTCCATAGGGGAGGGGTCTTTTTCATTATAAATAAAATGTATTTTACACATAAGGATCAATCAAACTTGTAGCTAAGAGTGCCGAAAAAAGACATAATAAAACCAATAAGACAGAAGGTTACAATGGTCTTCTTAAAGAATTGTATGCATTTCATTCCGAAATAATTACACACATACAAACAAGGTGAATGATTCATTCCATCATAAGGCTTTATCTCATTCATCTGAATCAAATGCAACATAAATGATATCTTCCATTATTCGGGATCTAAGACAGAACAAAGCATAATATATGAAACGAAAACTTCAGTTATACTCAAAGGGAAGCAGAAGATGCAATTACCCATGTCTGGACGTTATTCTTGATGTGGGCCCTAGAGGTTCACTTCCTTATGCTTGCCTTTGAGTTTCATCTCTGTAATTTTTTCAAGATTTTTACTTTTTACTGTCTTTCAATTGATCTCAATTTGCAGCATTTCCTTTATTTCCAAGTAACAAATGATAGATTTTTCTGAAACAGCAGTGGGTCAGTGGCCTTTCTCATGGTATCAATACCTTAGCCTAATAGGATTCGCATTTGCCAGGTGCAATGACTGTTACCAGCAGAAGGTGGGTGTGACATGAAAGATGGGTGGCTGCTAGGGTCTGATGTAGTGGTTGGTTGTTCCACCTTCTAATGTGTATTTGAGTGAAAGAGGCAAATTAGGACATTAATAGCTACTTGTGCCATTCATTCATCTATGGAACTTTTGAAGGTACTTCAACCTGAACTAAAACAAAGTTTCTAGCAAGTATAGTGAGTCGTGGCAGATGGTAAGCACATTTGTATGTCTTTCATCTGCCTTGTATGTCTAAAGTTAGTCATATTTTTTAAATTGTTCACTCCCATTTCCTTTTGAAACAATTGGAGGTTTTTGGTATTTCCATACAATTGTGGATGACTTCTCTAAGGTCATATGGGTTTACCTTATTAATTCTCATGTCGAATTTTTTCAACACCAAGTCTATGCTAACAATCAATTTGGAAACAATTGAAACATTCCCTGCTAATGTTAGCATGATTCATCTTGTATGTGTACCCCTTAGCAAAATGGATGTTAAGAAGAAATAAACGGCATTTATGTTAAGCTTTTGCCATTAAGATGATACATAATATCATTCCACGCCATTTCTGGGAGATGCTCTTCCCGCTACTAACTATTATAACAAGTGTATGCCCACACAATTTTTAAGCTACAAATTACCAAGGTTCTAAATGGCGTAAGGCGTGGCATGGCAGCGAGGTCAAGCCTTAAGCCTTACAATTTTTAAGCTACACAATTTGTGTGTGTGTGTGTATGTGTGTGTGTGTGTGTTTACCTCAATGTCTTGAACAATAATGATCAAGTTATTAACAATTTAAATTCATATAAAACGATAAACAAAAGAAAATTGATAATTTGATATCAATTATACAGAGTTTACAAAAATAATATCAAATATACAAAGTAAGTCGCTCTTTGCAATTCTTGTTTGGAAATCAAACAACAAAATCAAAGAACAACAAATGAAAGTAATCGAACAATATTTTTCGTATGCTGAGAAGTAGTTTAGGGTTTTTTCTTTTCCCTGTTTTTGTTGATTAAGTATTTGGCTCGTATAAACTATAAAGTTACATTTACATTTACTCTTATTCAAGTTTAAAATTTGCAAATTTCCCCCAACGCCTTATAATGCCATAACGCGCGATGCATGGCGCGCCATAACGAGCTCCACGCCTTATATCCACACCAAGGGGGTTAACGTGGCGGCAAGGCTGCGCCTCAGCACCATGGCGTGTTTTTTAGAACATTGCAAATTCCTCGACATGCTATTTTGACTAATGAGGGTTAGAGAGGTTGTTTCCATGGTTACGTTATATATGTGAACCCAAAATATTTGATTGCTTAGTTTATGCATATACCTCTGTTCTAGCAACAGTACTAAACCCTTGGTGATCGTCTCATTTTGGAAAACCAAGAAGCAAGTTGTAATCTCACTTTCACATGACACATCTAGCCACGACGCACAACTTGTAAGCGATAAGTTGACTTCAATACGACAATTTGACGCAAGAGTTGCGCGATCTCACTCACAACTCATTTGATGGAAATGTATGCAATAACGAAGTAGTTGTTCGTATTCCCAAGATCTAAACCTTCACAGGTGAACTAAGTACACTGAGGTAGATTGCCACTTCGTTCAGGAAAGGGTAGTCAACGCTTCTAAATATATGTTCCAACCTACGGAGGGGGTTATAAGAGTCGTATAGTTTGATATTTTCTCAAAATGCAAGCAGGACTGAATGATATCAGCAAATCTCTATAATCCTTAGGTTATGAAGCCTCTTTGACAGCATCAATGTATCATTTTGTTGACCAATCAAAACAAATAATTTATCAATATGTTTGTCCATCCACTTATGGTTATCCTTGTTAGTTAACGTCTCTTGAATCTATTTTTTATGAGATTGATTCCCACAATAACAAAAATAACTTGAGCAACTTATACCTTAACTTCATTTGCAGCAACAACTTTCATTTCAACTCTAAATCAATATATTTCATAAATCTCGTGTAGTTGTTTGGTGATTGTAGCAATGCAGGATATGAACTATATGCATATTGATTTATAGGAAATTGTCAAAATAGAAGTCTAAGTTTCTGTTTTTATTCTGGCTCATACACGGTTTCTTTGATAGGCAAAGTTTGGTGTTCTCTTTTAACAAAACTAAATGATACACAATAATGAAAATCACAAGATCTAAAAGAACAGCGAATAGTATGTAATGGATCACCTCAACACCATCACCTCGATGATAATCCATAGTCAAGGTTTCAGCTGTCCTTTTTCCTTCATCGTAGCAGCTTCGAACACCTACATAACATTAGAAACTGAATGTGACCAAAATCACTACAGCAAACAGAAACACAAAAAGAAAACAACATACAAAACAATGTACAAATCAGACAAATATCAAGTAATGATCCACCTATCGGATTCACATGCCCCCAATATGTCTCCTTCTGAGGATGCTCAAGTGGGTCTCCATAAACCTCACTGGTGCTTGTAAGCAAAAACCTTGCCCCAATTCTCTTGGCAAGTCCCAACATGTTTAGGGTGCCCATAACATTTGTCTTGTAATTACACCAGTTAAGAAATTCCAAACTCATAACTTTCAAATACCCAACTCTAAACAAAAACAACATCAAACTGCAACAAATAGCCAATGCCCCTTATATAAACCAACTTAATAATACATGAAAATTTAACTGACTCTTCACTTAAATTTACACTTCAAAGTTCAAAATTCAAATAGTGGTTCCAAGTATAAAAAAATTCAAACTTGAAATTCATATGAATTCTTCAATTTTCACAACAGAATGGATAAGCTCACGAAACATGATAATGCAAATTCACCCAACTTGTAGCCTACCATATGGTTGAATGCTGCATATAGAAAAAAACACGTTGGTCATAGGTTTGTAATAAGAAAATTCATATCAATTTTGAATTTGAAAAGCACTTGGTTTTACATCCAAAGTCAAAGCAAGCAACTTTGTCTAATACCATATTCAACAAGCTGCCCAATTTCACAAACATCAAGAGAACAACAAAATAAGTGAATCTAGCATTAATCTATAAATGCATCACGATAAGCAAAAGATACTACTGTCATGCATTCAAATGTGCAATCTACAAGAAGCATACCTACTCCTAAGTTAATGGAGATACATACACATAATGTACCAACAATATTTTGATTTCAAGAATGAGTAGCAATAACAATAACAGCAGAAAGAAAGGAAGACCTAAAAAAGGATATGATGGTCTTGACAGGATTGAACTTGTAATGAACTGGGGAGGCAGGACAAGCTAAATGATAGATTTGATCAACCTCCAGTAAGATAGGCTCAACAACATCATGCCTAATCAACTCAAATCTAGGGTTCCCAAAATGATGTGCAACATTTTCTTTTCTACCAGTAAAGAAATTATCAATCACAATCACATCATCCCCTCTTGCAATCAACTTATCAACTAAATGACTACCCACAAACCCGGATCCGCCGGTCACCACCACCCGCCTCTTCTTCCGGCCAATAGCCACCGGAACCCGTCCTGTGGCCTGATTAATAGGGCGGTAGTAGTGGGAGGTGGTGTCTGGGTGAGAGAATGCAATTGATCTGGTGAGTGAGGTGGTTTGATTTTCATCACTAGCATCAGTTATGGTGAAGGAAGAAATGGATGGTTTAAGAATGAAGAAGGCGGAACCGATCAAGATTCCGACAAGGATGAAGAGAAGACGTTGTTCTTTGAGGATGTAATTGATGGATCTTGGAAGATATCGGGAGGATGATTGATGTTTGGGGAATTTTGGTGAGTAAGGTGGGGTTTGACTAGTGGGCATCTCTTCATCTCTTCTTTGATTAGCGGTTGATTGTTTATGCAACTGCTTCATGTTGTTCATGATTGTTGGATCTGTGATTTTAGGTTTTCTGGAATTGGGTTATGAGTAACTAAAGAACATGAGAAGGATGGCGAGATGGGTGGGAGAGAGAGAGAGAGAGAGATGGTAAAAATAATTTGTATTTTTTCAGGAGTTGCAGTGAAGAAGAAAGAGACTTGAAGCCATGGACGGCGATGGCGTCCAAATTGTTAAAAATAACAGTTGCACACTGGAAAAATAAATATACAACTTCCTGTCTAGTCAACCGCCAAAATACATGCATTCTTATTTTTTTTTTGTTTCTATATTTATAAATAAATACTAAGTTATTATTTTAATTATATTTTAAATTTTTTATATTTAAAATAAAATATTTATTATGTATTTAATTATGTTTATCTACTGTTAGTTACACAAATTCAAACACAAAGTTTTAATAAGTTATATTTATGTACAATTTACTTGTAATCATAAATTTTAAATAATATACATCAACAAAAAGTATTTTATGTATAAAATATGATTTTTAAAAGTTTATGTCAAATACTTTATAATATAGTATAAGATATGGGTTTCAAAAATTACATTCACATCCTTGAAATCAAATAAATGTTACAATTACAAATGGTTAGTTGGGCTGGTTTAGGAATAAAACAAATATTGGGCTATTGAAGTACCTCAAGAATTGATGAGGCCCATAAGTAGCTAGCCGGCTAGTGGGTACTAATAGTGGGCTTGGGCCAGTTGGTTTCGTCCGGGGAAAGAACAAATTACAATTTTACCCTTTGAAAATCAATCGACATTGAAGTGTCCTCGTGCTATTTAAAAGTCCAATTATCAACTTGTGGGCTATCAATAAAAAGCTTACAAATCCCATTTTCTGTCAACAAAACTCGTAATAACCAAACATTGTTGTATTATGAAGTGAACCTATAAAAGTCAATTGTAACAAGTACACTTGCACCTACTCCTTTTATATCTCGTTTGACTGACTTAACGCTTTCAATCAACCCGATCTTTTAAACAGTCTGGTAAGTTCATTGTTTAGGTTTACTGCTTTAACGTTTCCACTTTCCACACCATATATTTTAAGAGTATATATATCTAAACTTTATTTTCGAATAACAATTTCAACCAATTAAAACTTACAAATTTATAATGAAAAAACTACAGAATAATGATTAATTAATGTTAAATAATAAACTATAGTCGATAAATGTACGAACGAGCAGCGGTTGCTTTCATTCTATTTTCTAACATTTTGAAAGAAAAACGTATCGCCAAATTTCTATTTTGAATAATGTTACAAAGGCATATAATTCAAACACCGGTCATTTTCGAATATCACAATTTCACAAATACAACATCAATATAGGTCGTTTCAAATACAACTCATTGAAATCGTACAAATTATACAAGACATAATTAACGCTTATATTACAAGACAATTAAAATATTTATAAAAAATTATGAACATTCATGAAAACCTACTTATCAAGCATTTTTGTTTTATAATTTACGTAATCTACAATACTGCTTTCTTATCATTATTTGACTTTTAAAAAAATCAATCATATTTAATAAAAGAAAATCATATATTACAAGCAGGTACAAAAATTAGGCTCCATTGACGACTTTATAGTTTTCCTGGCGTAAATTCTAGAAGTTGTCAAAGTCAAACGTAGAAACTTTGTAGCTTTTTCTTGCTAAAAATGTGTTTATTTATTTAAATAATAAATAGTTTCCGTACTTGTGTAGTTATTATATAAAAAATTATTTAATAAAAAATCACTGCCACCTTTTTCGTAGAAGTGTGGGTTTTTTTATAAAAAAATAATGCAATTTTTCATTACAAACAAAATCCAAAATTTATATTTAAGTAAAATAAAAATTATGTGAAAACCTAATAATAAGTTTTTGTTTTTGGAAAAGTTTATATTTAAAAATTAAAATGTGATTTATTTTAGTTTTAAACCTTTTTCTCAGAGCTCGACAGTTGTCATATATTTTAAAAAATTAAATTCATTTTAAATTTTAGCTACTAAAATAATTAGTTTTCAGACTTTCTACTACACATATTCTCTTTTGGAAAAAAAACGTTTTCTTTTAAAAAAAACAAGCTTTTGTAATAATTCATTGTCAAGAAAATGTAATCATTTTCAAAAAACACGTTCATATGGAAATAATTCATTTCAAAAATATGTTATATACAACGATTGTGTTTAGAAATATTTTAAAAAATGTTATTTTTATTATATGCTTACACACAATAATAACACTTAATATTAATAACCTTAAAGTAAATCATATTAAATATTAAAGATTTGTATCATTTTTAATAAAAGATTTTGTAAAGTTAATTAGATTTTTATTTTAAAATATTAAATAAATTATGTGATTGGATCAATATTTATAACCAAAATAAAAAAAAATCAAATATATAATTATTACTTTGCTGAGTTATTCCTATTTTCAGGTGAATTCATGTCGACTTATTTGAAATCAATTGCATGCATGCACGCTTCTCCCGTAATCGCATACATCATGAGGCAATACATGCATCAGCAATGAGCAACCCACCTCAAAACATATATTATATTTAATAAAACATATACAAGTAATTTATTTAAAAAATATAAATATTATTGGTGATTTGTATCACCAATATCGTGTAATGAGATTATTTGTTTACCAATGTAATCTTGATAAAAATTGAACAAGTAAGGATGGTGCGGAATAAACAATGTAATATTGATAAAAATTGAACAAGTAATTAAGGATGATGCGGAATGTATATTTGTTTAAGTTTATTTCGATTTAAAGTATACCGTTATTTAGGGGCGAAACTCCTAAACGATGGTTTGGTGGTTCTGAAATAAACTCAAACAAGTGTGCATTTCGCACCACCATTACTTGTTCAATATTTTATTAAGATTACATTGGTATTTTTTGTTGCTTACTAAGAGGGTGTTTAGGATTGCTTATAAAAACAACTTATTAACTTATTCCGTTGTGACACCGATAATAAACATTTTTGAGTGTTTGGATAAACAACTTATACCGGTGTCAAACCGATGAAGTTTTTGAAAAAATTACACTCTCCTAACTTATAATAAGTTGATAAATGCTTTTATAAAAGAATATAATTTGTTTTAAATAAGTAATCCGAAACCCCCTAAAACTAAGTATATAGATGGTATTAATTCAATTAAATAGTTATATGTCCCCTCAGCTTCAAACAACGACCCAAGGCATCAAGCTAGAAATATCTTTAATTAATATTTTAATTGGACTTCTTTTGTTTGTAATTATTTAGGAATAAATATTGTTTGTTATTATAATTATGGCTAAATATTTAAGTGATTGTTTGTGAGTTTATATACTTTGAAGGATTCATTAGATTTTAGTTACTGAAACAATTTGTTAATTGTTATTTTTGATTGATAATTGATACGTAGATCAAGATTGAATCATAAAACCGAATGAGAAACTCATAAACGTAGCTTTTACGCTTTATGGTTTAACTTCTTCATTAAACTGAATGTTCATAGACTTTAAATGCAACATAAAATGGAAGGGAGTTTTTAAACGACTCGTTGGTTTTGTTTGTCGAGAAATAAGTTGCTGAAAATTTTTAGTTTGAAGAAAATGGTGCAGGATTTCAAAACCACAAAAAATCGATAACTTCACTTTGATGAACAGTGTTTGAAAAATTCATTAAATTTTCGTCTTGTTTTAAAGTTTGAATATGTTAGACTTTGGATGATGTATCTTTTGTGTTTTTGAAAATACGCATCGATTACATCGAAGCAAATTAAACTTGTTTATGTGATCCATTTGTAAAAAGAGATTAGGTTCAGCACCTGGAGTTAGAAGGCTTATGTTCCGCCCTTGCAAATAACTAACAACGGATAAGATCAAACGGTAACTACACTAAGATTTTAAAAGCAACTTGTCTTCAAAGGATGAAATTCTCTAAATCCGGAGATTTCTCCAAAAATGATTACTTGTTAGAGATAATTGGTTTGTTTTATTCATTCTACCAATGAGATTGAGATTGCTTGAATTTAAATGTTTAAAAGAAAAATAATATTTTATGAGTTTTGTTAAATATTTTATTCATATATAAGTAAATTATGGCTTTCGTCCTTGTGGTTTGTCAAAAATTACTATTTTCGTCCCTATGGTTTAAAAATTATAGTTTTAGTCACTGTGGTTTGTAATTAGTTGCGGTTCTCCGTGCAACTATCTCCGTTAAAAAAAACTGTCACTAAGATGGACATTTTTGTCTTTTTACTTTTTCTTTCATTTTCTATAAAAAAAAACTATTTTACTTTCTTCCCCTAAAGACGACGACTGTAACTTCTCCATCTCCGACCTAACCTTCCTTCCCCGGTAAAGTTATCGTACCACAACCAGCCTTCTCCAGTGAGCCTACCATGCAACAACCTTTATCTTTTGGGTGAAGACAAAGCCCATTTACACCACATCGAAAACCTAATGCTAGTTTGATGAAGACATTTACCCCCCCCCACCCCCCCACAACCCAAAACCCATTTGCAATTCAATGATATATGCGTAGAAGATCTACTAGTATAGTTTGAACTAACCAAATTCTGAATTTCGATCTCTCTAAAAAAAACTGCTTTGAGTAGGACCTATCATTAGATGAACCCATTCTTGAAGATGAAACTTTCTTGAGCTGGGGAAATGCATCTAAATTCAAATGGTTTTATATCCAGTAACATGTGTCATCTCCTCAGATTGCTCGAGAAATGGTGATAAGGTATTCCTACAAGTCATTTCGTTGAGTTGCCCAACATTTTTTTTTTCGTTATGTTCATCTTGAAGTAAACTAGAATTTGTTTATATAAACAAGTAAAAGTGCCTTCGTGCTTTATGGATATGGTGTTAGAGAACATTGATCTTCCATATGCAGGAGATGGATATTGAAATCAAGGACGCATGGGAAGGAAGGGGTTGTTTGCGGTTGTTGCTGGAGACGGTGAACATTAACCCCGACGTGTTCTTGGGAAGAAGAAGTGGGCATGGGGAATTTATTTTAGTAAGAGTAAGTAAAAAAAATAAGAAGTCCAAAATGTCCC